TGACTTCATGCTTCGATTAATCTTTTTAAATGTCAGACAAACTTTATAATAAGTCAATAGATGCATCCAAGTAATTATTTAAACAAAAATTAGATCAATTATAAATTATTTAATATATAAATTTAAATAAGTTTGACCAAGCAAGTCCTTTTAAATTGAATTGGTTGGTCCCGTAAATTATCAAAATAGCCCAGCCCTTAATTAACCTAATTGAAAACTGCAGGGACTAAATTGCATAAACTAAAGCAAGGGGTCAGATTGCAATTTTGACAAAACTTGATTAGAAACCCACCCCCGTATCTCTTCCCCTACCAAAACACAACCTCTGTACAGCCTCACCATCACCCTCACCGGAACCCATCTTCTTTATCGTCAAGATATGATACGGCCATTAAACAAAAAGGCCGCCGACACCTCGCCGACAAAAGGAGATGAAAATTGTTAAACCTAGATTCGAGGGGAATAGTTTTTCAATGTGGAGACGACGGTCAAAGAGCCGAAATCAGCCGTCGCCGCCAACCATGGTTGAACGGGAAGAGGCAGGATAAATTTTTTGAAATTCTCGGTTAGAGTTTCAGAGTTTATTTAATTCTCAAATTCACAAAAAAAAATATATTTTAATTCTTAAAATCGAAGAGAAAACATGCTTGATAAATGTTAAGTATATATTTTTATACTTTATCGTACCTTTTTATTTGAGCTTTTGGTGTGATTTAACGATAATTGGTGGTTAAAAAGTTGATTTATTGTATTTTAGGTATAAATTGAAGAATTGGAAAAGTTTGAGGTCAAAACTGCAAATTTGGAGAAAATATGGGCCAAAAGTGAAATAATCAAAAATATGCTGAAATTGGCTGAAAACAGGCCCGCACGGCCGTGCCAAAATTAGCCTATTTTTGGCACGGCCGTGCCAAATGCTGAATTTGGGCAGAAGGTTCGGCGATTCTCGCGCGGCCGTGCGAGAATTGCACTGATTTTCGCGCGGCCGTGCCAACACACGCTGGACACAATTTTGGACTTTTAATCACACAAGGAAACCTAAAATCATCTACCAAGTTGGGACATCTATATAAGGGCAAACCAAGCACGAATTAGAAAAACTTTTGACACAACTTTGGAGCGAGAAGAGCAAGAGAACGAAGAAACGAAGACGGAGAATTGACAAATCTTCATCACAATTCTTGTTAGTTAATGCTTTATTCATAATTTGTTTGCATAGACATATAGTGAACTGTTTATGAATAATAGACTCATAATACACGCGACAGCGGGTTATGAGTAAATTAGTGTCTCGGGTTAATAATCATGAATCATATATTTCATAATTGAGGGGTTTTGAGTGAGCAATTCTTGCATAGGGGGAAGATAAAATTCTAGGTCCGTTTTATTGATATCTTCTCGTGTTTATTTGCTTTCATAATTAGTTTAATTGTTAATTGATTTAATTTGACAAACTTGCGTAGGCTGGATAAGAATCATAGTTGTTAGAGTTTGGTACTTAGGATTAGGTAATTTGCGTATTCCCTGTGGGATCGACATCCGCCTCTCACGAGTCTACTTTACTACTTGTTTGCGATACGTACACTTGCGTGTTGGTATTTAGCACCCAACAAGTTTTTGGCGCCGTTGCCGGGGAATACGGCTAAATTATTTATTTATCCTAATATTAAATTTGAGCAATTTTTCTTACTTCAGCCATTTTATTTATTTTATTTAATTAGTTTATTTTTATTATTTTTGTTTAGGTACTTTTTATGCGAATGGAAGAAGAGAATAATCGTAGGGGAGATGACCAAGGGCGCTTACCGAATGCGGCAGGAGAGATCGTCAACGAGCAAGAGCAACGTCAGCTAATTAATCCACCACCTCGTCAACGAGCATTGCATGAGTACACCGTTCCAACACTCAATGGGTTTCAATCAAGCATCCAGCAGCCCCCCATTGAAGCCAACAATTTTGAAATTCGAGCGGGACTACTTACTATGCTCCAAAACAATGGGTTATTCAGCGGATTAGCTCATGAAGATCCGCATCTCCACTTGGTCAACTTCCTCGAAACGTGTGATTCGCATAAGATGAACGGAGTGTCGCCGGAAGCACTGCAGCTCCGCCTCTTCAAGCACTCTCTCCAAGGAGCCGCAAGAGAATGGCTACAAACTCGTGCACCGCATTCCATCTCGTCTTGGCCCCAGCTAGCACAGCTTTTCATGAATACGTACAACTCCCCAACCAAAACTGAGAGAATCCGGAGAGAAATACAAAACTTCTTACAAGAAGCCGGTGAAGCGTTGTTCGAGACGTGGGAGCGATTCAAACAATTAATTCGGAGATGCCCGAATCACGGTCTTCAAGAGTGGCGGCAACTTCAAATATTTTATGATGGATTGCAAGATAATTCGAGAACGGTGCTCGATTCAGCAGCTGGCGGTATGTACATGAGCTTGACATATGACGAAGCTTACGAACTTTTGGAGCGGATCGCAAGGAACAAATACATGCGGGCATCGGACCGGTCAAATAGCGGAGCCAATAAGACGGGAGGAATTTTAGAGTTAGACGGGGTCACCGCAATCACTGCCCAATTAGAGAAGCTATCAAAGCAAGTAGCAGCATTGCAAACTCAGCAAGTCCATGCAGTCCAAATTCCCAACCAGTGCGTAGAAGAAACGGAGTCTCTAAATTATGTACATGACACTAATCGACAACAGAGGAACCCGTACTCCAACACTTATAATCCGGGATGGAAAGATCACCCCAACTTTGGATGGGGAGGAAATCAGCAAGGACAAAGGCCAGCTCCCGGATTCCAAAATCCGCTTCAAGCTCCACCCCAAGTAGTTGACCTCGCTGACATCTTAGCAAAATTCATGACGTCGACTCAAGCATCCATTCGGAACCTCGAGACACAAATGGGTCAACTTGCAACCCAACTAAACGCGAGGCCGTCGGGAGCACTGCCGTCGAATACAGAAGATCCTCGAAAGAGCAACATCGAGCAGTGCAATGCAGTAACTTTGCGAAATGGGAGGCAATTAGAGGAAGGTCCTAAAAAGTCCGTTGCACCACCGCCTATTGTAGAGGAGCCCAAAGAAAAAACCGAGGTCGGGCCAAGCAACACAAAGATCACAGTAAGTGAACCTACTCCCAAGGTACCTTTCCCTCAACGTTTTCAAAACTCTAAGCTTGATATGCAATTTCAGTTATTTTTGGATTATCTTAAAAAGTTGCATGTTAATATTCCTTTTGTTGAGGCACTTAAGCATATGCCGAATTGGGTTAAGTTTATAAAGGAACTTGTATCGAAGAAGATGAGGCTTCCGGAGTGTGCAGCAATCATAGACCTCAATGAGCAAAGTAGTGCTATCCTTGCAAATAAAATTCCACCGAAGCTTAGAGATCCGGGCAGTTGTACCATTCCATGCACAATAGGTACTAGGTATTTTGGGCGAGCATTGTGTGATCAAGGGGCAAGCGTAAATTTAATGCCTTTATCAATCTATGAGAAATTGAATTTAGGAGAAATTAAGCCTACTTCCGTGACCTTGCAGCTAGCCGATAGATCTTTTACTCACCCTTTAGGTATAGTTGAGGATGTATTGGTTAAAGTAGATAAGTTCATACTCCCGGCTGATTTTCTAGTACTTGACATAGAGGAAGATGAAAATATTCCCCTTATCTTAGGACGCCCCTTTTTAGCAATCGGTAGATCAATTATTGATGTAGGAAAGAGAGAGCTAAGAATGAGTGTGGGGGACGAAACGGTGATCTTCAAGGTGTATCGGGTGGATGAAAAGCCTATTACGGCTAATGGATGTTATCTTCTTGATGAGGTAAGTGATTCTAAACTTTTTCCTGTTAAATTACATGATTTAATTTTTTTTGTGGATACTAATGTGCATGTAGGAGAACAAAAGAAAAAGGTTTAGTTGGTTACAACACCTATTCAAAACACCGTGATAAAAGACGATGTTGGCAAGCCTCATGACATCAAGAAGAATAAATTCAATGGCATTCCTAAGCGAACCAGTCGAAAGAAGAATCGGATCAACCCATTTATTCAAGACTTTCTCCAAAAGGAAGTTAAGAGATGGGTTCAAAAGCTAAGGAATTGAAGAGAAGGAACAAAGTCTGGCTGAAGACTATAAACTTAGCGCTTCTCGGGAGCAACCCGAGATTTTTGTTTTTATTTATTTATTTATGTTTCTTGTTTTATTTTATTTATTTATTTTATAAGCATGCAAGCTAATTAAATAAGCAATTTTTTTTATTTTCAGGGGTCAAAGTGCAATTTTGCACTTCACACGGCCGCCCCAACAAAGGCTTAATTTCACACGGCCGTGTGAAAAATCTGGAAGCTACTGCCCAATTTTGGCAAATCGCACGGCCGTGCGGAAAATAGTTCAAAATCTCATACGGCCGTGCGAAACTCAACAGAAGCATAATAAAGGCGAGGGTGGAGAGAAAACCGGAGACGGCCAAGACGACTTATTCAGGTGTATTCTATCCTTAAACTTCGTGTTAATTACATTGAGGGCAATGTAAATTTTAAGTTTGGGGGTGGAAAATTACCTGTTTTTATGTGCTTTATTTTTTTAGTTTGCATGCCTGTTTTTATGTGCTTTAATTTTTTAGTTTGCATGCCTTAAGTTTTTTTTTTTATTTGAGTTATTTTATTTTAGTTTTTTCTTTCGAAAAAAAAAAAAATGTGTTTGAGATAAATGCTTCGATGAATCATGATGATGAAAGATGGTCGATGTTTAATGATGAAATTGCTTGCTTTATCTTGATTTTGATCGAATTTTGGTGAGCTTTTGATTCAAAGTGTCGTAAGAAGGAGTCATTGTTAGGAATCTCGAATTATGCGTTGCTTTGGTTGAAAGTTTTGTGTTTTAAAATTTGAGTTAATTTATGTTATATCATATGCTATTCGGTTTTAGAACTGCCCTAGGCATGTTAAAAGGATA